CACACAAAAAACTTAAAATCCTAGTAGTATTTTTTACTGTAAAACAACCCCCCACCAGACATGTTGAGTAAATTTTTATAACTTGAAATGCAAATATAATATAATTGTACATTTTGTAAACATATACAACTATTTATCTAAAAATGCAGCCAATACACCTGCCGTTTTTGGGTTGTTGTTTTTTTCATTTTCTACAACCATTTAAAAATATTACTAAAACCAAAGTGAGAGAACAATCAGGTGTTGCATTAAGATGCCCCACAAATGATGTGTGCCAGTAAAAAAAAAAAAAGAGAGAGAGGAGAACCGCACAGGGATAAACCTGCAGGCCTGACAACAGGAGGTGTATCACTCCGCTGGTTTTCTACTTAGTGTTTACGTTCCAAATGTGCCTTTGTGACATTCATTAGTGCCCTCACTGACACACAAAACAAAACGACTACACAACAGAACAGCTACACAAGACAACACAACACACTAAGAATCCACTCCACACTAAACGTCACAAATCTCCTACATCTAAAAACTCTCCCCCTCTCTCTCTCTCTCACTCACTCGCTCTGTCTCGCTGCCGTTACCGTCACTCCCAAAACGTTTCCCTCTTCCTAAACAACCAAATCCCATGTGTTGACTTTTTTTAAAAATTGGTCGACATGGTACGATAGGAAAGAGGTGGCTTTTTCTTCCTTTCTTTACTGTTTTCGTGCTGTCCTTAGAAAACGCTTAAAACACACACACACAAAAACGTGACGACAGTATTTAGAAAAAAGCGTGGCTTATATATATTATCACAATTCTGGATTTACTGGCCTGTAATTAAAATGTAAAAACTTTGAAGTCTGAACTTTCAATGTGGGCTGAAATAGAGACTGAGCGTGGCTGCAGCTTTTTGCTATGTCAGCTTAGATCAGTCGTGTGATTTGGAGGTGCAGCATGTCCGTGGACCACAGAGGGTTCATAACACTCACCTTCCTTCCATTTCCACAGTGTAACATCCAACCATCTGTGTAAAATCCGAAATTCCCATGGTGTTGTTCAAAATGTGCTCTGGCACAATCATAAACATCGCTTGTTACTGAAAACATCATTTTAGGGTGGCACTTGCCACCCTAAAATGCCACCCTTCTAGATCCGCCCCTGTTCATGGATAGATAAAGTTGGGTGTCATCTGTATACCATGCCTTCTGACGGAACTGCCTAAGGGAAGCATGTATAATGTAAAAAGAATTGGTCATAATTGTGTTTACCTTATACATGTCGATCACATGTGGAAACAGACAAGTAAGAAGTTTGTGTGTGTGCTACAGCTGAATGTTTGTGCCTGATCTCCTGTGTGACCCAGGGCTCCGTGTTGGTTGGAGATGATGTTATTGTTCACTGTGCAGAGCTTCATGATGAGAGCGCTGTTCATGTTAATGAGCTGTCATTTATTAGCATCTGTGAGAGGAAGCAGAGTCCTTTTATCCTGCTCATGCTGCTGCTGCACAAATGTGTCATACATGACTGATCTGGAGAATCTAAACAACGCTGTAACTCATTTGTGCATGAATCTGTCGCAGCGGGTGTGTTCTGGTCCTGATTCAAACAGGCGAGTCTCTGATTGCAGACATGAAAACATGCTAATGAGGTGCACACGGCCCTACTCACGCATTTCATTTGTTTCCTAATGGAGCCCAGCAAGTGCTGCCACTGATCTGCATAAAACCTTTGAAACAGTCTTAGAACCTCAGTTACTCCATCAGCCCTCACTGTCAGTTCATAGCGATGAAGCTCTGCTGGTTGAGATGAATTATGTCATTAATCGTCTTTGGGTCACACCTTAAATTTATTTATGTATGGTTTCTACGTTAACTCTGTGATGTTGTTCATATCAAGATAGAGAAAATCTCTAAGGAGCCTTTCCAGCTTCACGTTGAATCTGTGGCGTAAAGAATTATAGCAACTCTGAAAGAAAAAGGAGCGCTACTCCAAAGTGTACTTAATAAAGCGGCAGGTGGGTATATATACCTGTCTGATTAGCAGTGTCATGATGTACACCTGAGATGCAAAACTGAGTACCTGCTTCGACCTGTATTTGGGGCGATCGTGGCTCAAGAGTTGGGAGTTCGCCTTGTAATAGGAAGGTTGCCGGTTCGAGCCTGGGCTCTGACAGTCTTGATTGTTGTGTCCTTGGGCAAGACACTTGACCTGTTGCCTACTGGTGGTGGTCAGAGGGCCCGGTGGTGCCAGTATCTGGCAGCCTTGCCTCTGTCAGGGTGGCTGTGGCTACAATGTAGCTGCCATCGTGTGTGTGAATGGGTGGGTGACTGGATGTGTAAAGTTCTTTGGGGTCCTTAGGGACTAGTAAAGTGCTATATAAATACAGGCCATGTACTTGCTCCACCATAAGTTTATATGCATTTATACACCTCTCTGCATTTAATCATTAGTTATTATTAATCTCTGGCTCTCTTCCACAGCGTGTCTATGTCCTGTCTTCTTCCCCTCACCTCCAACATGTTGCAGGAGATGGTCGCCCCTCCTGGTTCGCCTGGAGGTTTCTTCCGGTTAAAAGGGAGGGTTTTCTTCCCACTGTCACCAAGTGCTTGCTCAAAGAGGGAATTCTGATTGTTTCGGTTTCTCTGCATAATTCTAGGTCTTGACCTTCCAATGTAAAATGCTTTGAGGGGACTGTTGGTGTGATTTGGAAAATGAAAAAATAAAACTGAACTGAACTTGGTTCCACTGAAGTGCAATCTCAGTTCTGACAGTGTGTTACTCATAGTTTGAAGTAATCTGACTGAAAGCAGAGATGGATTCAGGACTGTGTGTGTGTCAGTCATATGTGTGAAACTATGAGAAAGGCTAGTGTCTTGGTGGAAGCTGAGGATCCACTCGATGAAGAAGAGTGGTCTAAGCCCATCCTGCCTGTCTTTGCAGGACAATGAAAGCTGGTTCTTTCCCAGAGGAGGCTCTGAGGGTCTGCAGGTTTTCTCCAGGCTCTCCCTGTGTGTGTGTGTGTGTGTGTGTGTGTGTGTGTGTGTGTGTGTGTGTGTGTGTGTGTGTGTGTGTGTGTGTGTGTGTGTGTGTGTGTGCTGAATCAGATCCAGGATCAGACCCGCTGGGTTTATTTATTTATTTATTTGTTTGTTTGTGGGAGGTGTGAGGACAGGAACGAGTCACATGACGTTCCATTTATAGTGAGAACAAAGATTCAGAGAGAACAAGCCTGTCCTCTTCATCCTCTTCTTCCTCTGTAATCAGTTGCTGTCGATCGTGTCAGGATGAACTGATTGATTTGATATGAAAACAGCGGGTGCAGACATGTTTGTTTGTTATTGATCTCTTCTAATAAATGAGCTGTTAGCCTTGCTGACAGCGTCTGATCGATTCAGGTCCATCAGAACTCTGACTGATTCAGTCACAGCGTTTCATCCACTCACCCCTGACTCACGTTCGCCTGCACTGACTCATTTACACTTTTAAATCACTCTGTGTTTGGAGGTTCGAGGGCTTAGCCAATCATTTCACTGCTCACACAGTTTCACACGTCATTTACCCAGAATTCAGCAGCTGCTGTGACAGGACGCTTTGAACGGAGCTGACAGAGTTTAAGATTTCACTGATTCCCCTGATCAAAGGTTGCTGAAGCCAAGCCAGCTTCAGATATATTACACAGCAACAGTCACACACCTCAGAGATGACACCTGATAGGCTCACCTCTGTACACACAGCAGTGATCCTACAGAACTGCTAACACGCTCACTACTCACGAATGACAAAGCTCATATCTGACCTCTTGACTCCTGTAACGTGGCCGACTGTACCAGCAAACACTCCCACTAAACTACATTTATTCCACTCTCGGACTGGAAAGTCCTTCCTAATGAGTGATTTAAATACCAAAAATGATCCTGATTATGTTTCTAACTGAATCCCAGGTAAATTTCTCTCTGCTGCTGTCTGCTCGCCCTGTGTGGGTGGGATTTAAGCAGTATTGTGTAGTAAGCCTGACCCCGACCCACATGAACGTTACTCAGACGTTTCCAGTCAGGTGCTGGAGTGAGTGATAATTAAAGTTTAATTAATCTCCACACACTCTGCTCATCTGGTTTTTAAAGCTCACTCTGCCTTCATCATCCTCATCATGATTGCACCAGCTGCTCCTCCTCCCGTACTTCTGATTGCTCCTTCAGACAATTGTCCAATCAGCAGTGACTTAGTCTTTCTGAGGAGCTGCAGCTGCACATGCTCACAGAATACAGGAAAACACATCTCTGTGTCAGCAAAATCAATACTGATTAATACTGATAATCTGATGGGCTGTGTGTGGTACAGTCCACAGTTCAGATTGTGACAGTAGAATCACAAAGTGGACTCTCACACTGATGTTTCTACTTTTCCTGTGCTGCCACCTCCAGGACAAACACGTTCTTACACCCAGAGGTGCCGCTATTGCATAATTTTGAACCAGCTTTATTAACAAACCTCAGTCAAAACGGAAGAAACAAACCCTCTGATGAACTCCAGCAAGGAAACCGAAATAAAAAGAAAACATAATGAAATGTGAATAAATGAAATGAAAGATGTTCTTCTTTGTTTTTGTGCTTAGTCAACATAACACACACTCAGATATAACAGTCTGCACCTCAGACTGTATATCAAAGATGGTTAGTGTCTTGGAACCTGGACAGGAAGCTGAGATGTTCTTAGGGACACTCAGAGACGTTTAACTGCCAGGATGAAAAATTCTTTTAAATCCTGAATTTGTGACAGAAAACTTTAATGTGTTTTTATCATTGACCCGTGATACACGCAGCTTTTATATCACAGCCACGCATCACAGTGATTGTCCAGAAGGGCTTCAAGCTGCACTTTTAATAATCAATCATAGACTGTAAATAAAGATTGATGTAGGTAATGTCCAGCACAGGCCAACTCCTCTGCTATAGAAGTGTAGTTGACCTTTGACCTCTGACTTTTACCTGTAGTCAGTTTTGTACATGCAGGGAGAGTCAAACTTTATTTAATACTTTATTGGAAACAGATTTTCTTTACATGGACACATTTCAGACTGTCACATTTACAGGTAGGCATTTTGCACATGCTCAGTGTGACTCCGACCAGCTCCACAGAAACACCAACAAACTTTGTTAATTAATAGCTTTGTTTAATTTCTGTCTCTGATGTCAGAGACACAAACTGACATGTAAAAGGCGACAGGAAAACTTCAAACTTCAAAAATAAAAGTATAAGATGTAAATACATACTGGGAGGAGCTGAAAGTCATCGAGTCTCTGTCAATCATGTGCTGGACCATGTGACCACAGTTGGACTCAAACAGGTGAGACTGAAGATGGTTCTCTTTGGTTTCCACCTGTGGTGGCGTGCAGCTCTGTCACTGGATGTTTGTTGGTAAGATGGATCTTGAGAATTGTAGTTAACTTCTTTGCATCCTCAGATGTGTGAAGGTTAGGTTTTCTTGTGTTTTTCTCTCAGACAGGTGAGTGTGAGGTGGAGCTGATGATGATGAAGATGATAAAGTAGTAACAGGTGCCTCCCTTCACTTTTTCCCAGGACCAAAGGGGTCTGAGGTGGCGTCGCCAGCCTTCTCCTCTCCACCCTGCAATCTGTCAACTAGGTTCGCTGTCCCACAGGTGGCCAGGACACACCGAGCACCTGTGGCCCCATGAATCCTAAGAAAGGCACAGGTAATTGATTAACTGATTGATTAATTATCTAGGAACACCTTTAATAATTATTGATACTTATTTAGACTCTTTCTTTTTGATTGATCTTTCTGAGTTGTACTTCAGTGACTTCTTCCAAATAATCAGCGTGTCTTTTAGACCCCACACTGCCTGTCTCTCTGTCTGTTTTTCTTTCTGTTTGTTTGCCTGTTTGTCTTTCCGTATGTTTGTTTATCTGTTTACCTGTCTGTCTTTTTCTTTTGTCTGTTTGGTTTTCTGTTTTAGTGTTTGGCTGTCTGTTTGTGTTTGCATTCTGTCCATCTGCCTGTCTTTCTGCTTGTCTGCTTGTTGCTCTGTCTGTTTTGTCATCTATTTTTTTGTCTGTCTGCTTGGTAGCTTGTCTGTCTGTCTGCTGTCTTCTGTTTGTCTATCTGTATGTTTGTTTATCTGTCTACCTGCCTGTCTGTCTTTTTCTCTTGTCTGTTTTGTAATCTGCCTGCCTGCCTGTTTGTTTGTCTTTTTCAGTTGGCTGCTTAGTTTTCTGTTTAGGTGTTTGGTTGTCTGTTTGTCTTCTTTTTGTCCATTTGTCTGTCTGTCTGTTTGTCTTTTGGTCTGTCAATGTGTCTGTTTGTTTGTTTGTTTTTCTGTTTTTCTGTTTGTCTGTCTGCCTCCCTGTTGTGACTTTGTGCCCTGACTGTCAGGTAAATTTTGAAAACAAAAAACATCAGCAGGCTCTCTCCCTACTTCTGATGGTGTTTTCTCGGCCAATCAGACCATGTGGTGACAGATACATACACTGATTCTGGCTTCCTGAAACACAGACAGAGAGCACCTGTTCAGACCTGAGTGGGCTGCAGGTGAGTGAGTGTGTCAGAGTCTTACAGGTGATCCAGAGGAAGAATCAGTCTTGAATACAAGCAGAGGCCCTCTGAACTGGATTCACACCTAATACTTGATTTAGGTGCAACCTGAGGTTACTCACAAAAGCGTGGGGGTGCTGTTCCCCATGGCATGCTCCGTGCTGTTCCCCATGTGGGTTCCCATGTTTTTTACTGTGTTGTTCCGCACAGCAATCTCAGTGAACCCCTCTGCACTGCTGCGAAAAATAAAACTTTAAACAATCTGATCCTCATTAAAGTTTTCACACAGAGTTGAAACAGCTTCACAGGTGTGACTTTTTTTGAGCCTCGAGTCTGAAACAGGAAATAGACTGGCTACATCAGGGGTGTCAAACTCAAATACGCAGTGGGCCAAAATTCAAATCTGGAACAAGGTCGCGGGCTAACGTTAATATTTATTGAAAAAAAAATCTTCCTCCAGATATGAGAATGAATCTTTTCTTATGGACTCAAATAAGTTTTGCTGAAAAACTGAATATGGAACAAGCAAAGCTTAATACTAAACAATATATATATTAGCTGTATAATACCAGTAGGCCAGCTCTAATAGTAATTTGGTATGGCTTCGCGGGCCAGAGTTTGACACCTATGGGCTACATCATCTTTAACACAAATCCTCTCTTACTGAGGAGGTGATAAATAAGTGGATGTTCCACTGACCGCTCACAGCGATCATTGTAACACAATTAAATATAAGTAAACATTTAGAAACATCATGTGACAACTCAGTCGTTCAACAGGACGTCCGCTTTATTCCCACTTAATTCCCACTGTAATTCCAGTGTATTTGTGGATTATTCTCTGAGACCCTTGATGCTCCGCTGCGAATTGATATTTTTATCACATGAACAAACTAATGACTAGTTAACATATTGATCATCACAAGTTTAAATGGTTACTCAGAAAGTAACTCAGTAGGTTCACTCAAACTATAGTTACTTTTCCCAAAAAGTTGATTCTGTTCATCTCAATGTATGTTCGTGTAGGTTCTCAGTCTTCCAGGTCATGGTAACCTAAGGAGCTTGGAAAGAAAAGAACTGGACTTCTTTAAGCTTCACCTCTCATCCGAAAAGCTTCTTCAGTTCTAAGACCAAATAGTGGAAAGTCCCAGGTATTTAAGCCCTGATAAAGACCCACACCTTTGTGATGAGGCAAGGTGTCAATATAATAGTAATAGTTGGTCAATGACCCTCTTAAGGGACAACCCCCGATGGAGCTTAAATACCTGGACTCACCACCATTTCGTGTTTCCAGGCTCCTTTCAGTGATTCATTTGGATGTAGTGTTTTCAGTGGGAGAAACATTTCGTCACTTAAAGTTTGGCTCTCATCATCCACTGGGTGTCATCAGGACACTACAACATAGAGCAAACACCATCCCACAGACACAGTGGCCAGCATCTAAAGAAAACTCCAGGCGATCCAGGAGAGAAGACGCAAAACTGCTGCCTAAGCAAAAACCCTAGTAATCTCTTTTGTGTCAGGAGTAGCGGAACAGCTGAGACACATTTTCTCCAACCACCATGTCTGTGTGGCTTTCAAACCCAAAACCCGCTGCGCAAAAAAATGGTTCCGCAAGGATCCGATCCCCCAACACAAACAGTGTAACATAGTGTACACTCTTGAGTGCGCACAAGCCATTTACGTGAAAAGGGAAAGACCATCTCTGCATCGAGGAGGGGGCCTAAACGTACATCTTTCACAATCTTACAATGTTGTAATTGCAGCCATTCCCCACCTCTTTGTGAATGGCACTCATGGCCATTAACCAATAATCAAGAAACTGGCGTCACAGCTCATTGTTCGTCTGTGGTGCTGGTTTCAGTCATTAAGGCAAATGTACTGTTTATAAGGTTAGAAATCTGCAGTCAGCTGAGACTGAAAAGGACACTTGGGTGAGTGATGAAGTGTTTCTCCCACTAAAAAGGCTACGTCCAAATGAACAGAATCAACTTTTCCTTACTAGGATGATTGAGCATGCATCAAGACAGTTACTTTTGTATCTGTCAGAGTTTCACACCTGAAGATCAGTCAAAAAGATTTAATGAACTGATGATCAGTGAGCTGAATGATTGGAAATTATTAGTAAACATGTTGATTCATCATTGATCATTTAACAATCAATCAGCAGGTCGATTGGTACACATTTACTCCACCAAGTAATCTGATTTCTTTACAACAAACATGCGAAATGAGTAAAGAGAAGAAGAAGACTGGGAGTTTATCTGGATGTAGTTTAGCAAGATGACATGTTCATACCTTATGTTACTTCAAAGTTCTAACAAGCTGGTGCAGGAATACCCTGAGTTTCTGTCAGACTCACCTGGTGTTGTTGTGATCGGCCAGATGAGGATTTGACATGTTCACATTTTCACGTCTGTGGAAAGAACAGAAAACATCTCTGTAATCAGCACCCACAAACAGGAAGTCCAGCTGACACCTGTACCTTACCTGAGACGTCCACATGGAGAAGGAAGAGGTGTCACCAAAACAAAGACCACCATCATCATTATCATCACCATCATCCTCTGGAGTGGAGCAGAGAGAGTCGTCATCCTCATCAGAGAGAGTGACATTGAAGGCATCATGCTGCCTTTTAAACCTGCTCTTTGTTTACACAGAAACATGTCAGTGTCGCCTGAAGGTTGGCTGAAGGCCAGCTGAAGGCCAGCTGAAGGCCAGCTGAAGGCCGACGGGAGTGATGAGTCGTTTCACTATTTACAGTGGGTTTTATCAGCAGCTCGACCTCGGCGCTGTTTGTTCTTCACGGGGAAGAGATCATTGGTTCACACGCAGTGATCTCACTGCGATGTCATCAGTTCTCAGTGTCTGTGGGAAACATCATTAAACATTTGAGTCACCTGCAGGTGCGAACTCAGGTGTTTTTATGTTAACCGCCAGCTTCCTGTGAAGTCACTGTGAGGTAAGAGATATTCCTGTGTGTGTGATAAGGCTCCGCCTCCTCACAAGTCACCTGCAGTAATTCCTGCTGTGAGAACAGGTTCATCAGCTATTTGATGAACACCTCTGTCCCACTAAGTCACATGCTGACTTCCTGTCATACTGTGCAAGTCAACCTGCTAAAATGTTTCAAGTAGTAAAGGGTCTTAATGGATGCTCAGTCATCCTGGTAAGTAAATCCCAAAAGGTTTGTTCTGTTCATCTGAACATTTTCAGTGGGAGAAACATTTCGTCACTCATCCAAGTGATTTCTTCAGTCTCAGCTGACTGCACGTTTCCCCAACATTATAAAAAGTACATTTGCACAATGACTGAAACCAGCCCACTGAAAGAACAATGGGCTGTGAGGCCAGTTTCTTGATCATCAATATGCAAATTGTCATGATCATTGATCAAAGACCACTGATCAATTGCAATGAGTACCATTCACAGAGAGTTGGGGAATGGCTGCAATCACAACATCATAAGATGGTGAAAGATGTACCCTTAGGCCCCCTCCTCGATTCAGAGATGGTCTTTCCCTTTTCATGTAAATGGCCTCCTTGACTCTCCAGTCAAACCAGCGTTCCTCCCTGTCCAGGATGTTACGTCCTCATCATTGAAAGAGTGTCCACTGGCCTGTAGGTGTAAAAAGACTGCGGAGTCTTGGCCTGACAAGTTAGCTCTTTTTTTTGTTGTTGTGCCATCCGCCTCACCAGAGGTTGTTTGGCTTTACCAATGAATAAATCATGGCAATCAAGCTGGCACTTAACAGCGTACACTATATTACTCTGTTTGTGTCGGGGGACCTGATCCTTGAGGTGGACCAATTTTTGGCGTATTGTGTTTTGGGGTTTAAAAGCCACAGAGCCTGAGGTAGTAAAGGGTTAAAATACTCCATGGCACACAGACCTCGCTGTGTTTGTGTTTCCTGTTTTATATTCAGATCACAGTGCTGAACTTTGGGAAAACATCTGCAAGGGAAGGTCATGTTCCAGCCCCCAAGGAGATGTTTGTTTGGTCACCCTGTCACCCTGTGACAGGAAGCAGTTTATGTCGAACGTGAGTGCAATGTTATCAATAAGTAAATGGACTGATGCTTATATAGTGCTTTTCTACTCTCCCAGAGTACTCAAAGCCCTCTATACAACATACCACATTCACCCAAGAACCTTTTTTTCTAAGCTTTTAGTGCTTCCTAGCTATCATACACTGATGGATGCATCAGAGAGCAGCTTGAGGTTAGTATCTTGCCCAAGGATACTTGGCATCCAGACTGGAGGAGCCAGGGATCGAACCACTAATCTTCCAATCAGTAGATGACCCAGTGTTGCCAACTCCTCAGTAAGGAAAATCGCTATTGGTTGTCCTAAAAGTCGCTAGAAGTCGCTAAATGACGTCATCGCCTAATTTGCATAATTGGTCATGCTAATCTAATTGTAACCTATGTTGTTGGAGAGAGAAATAACATCGTGGAAGAGACAAAGTGAGTAAAAAACGTCCTAAATGCATTTAGAGTTTATTTAGAACTACAAATTAAATTTCTTTCTCAACAAACAGCGGGTCCTGTAACGCAGTCAGTTCTTCTTTTACTCTTATGCTGTTTTGTGGATCAAAAGGTTTAAAACTACTTATAAACACACACACACAAAGTAACTCCACCTGAGTGCCTATTTCGGGTCACTTTTGCCAGTCCAAGCCCGGGTAAAGGAGCAGGGTTGGAATTGTGACATAAAAAAAAATAAAAAAAATTGCTAAAAGAAATTTAATTTGTAGTTCTAAATAAATTCTAACTGCATTTGGGACGTTTTTTACTCACTTTGTCTCGTCCACGATGTTATTTCTCTCTCCAACAACATAGGTTACAATTAGATTAGCATGACCAATTATGCAAATTAGGCGATGACGTCATTTAGCGACTTCTAGCGACTTTTAGGACACCAATAGCGGGGACTGTGCTCCTCCTTTACGGAGAAGTTGGAGACCGGCAGACAGAGGGAGAACTGAAGTTTGACCAGGTACCAAAGAAAATCATTCGTACTGTACAAATAATGTAAATATGACGGTGTATCCGAAAGATTGATATCAAACTGATCACTTGACCCATATTACGTTACTTGCTCTTCAAGTGAATCAACAAATGGCGAAATGAAAAGCCGAACAACAACAATGCTGTTTCTTTAGAGAGTCTTAGCTTACATGTGTTTATTTCATATTTTCAGTTGTTTCCCTCCACGGCTAAATAAATCGGTTTCAGTAATGCACTGATATACAAGAATGGACATAAGGAGCTTCTTTCAAAGAAAAAACTCTGGTAGATGTTATTTTATATATTATGCTTTGTATGTTGTTCAGTATATTTCTATGCAAAACAAGAGGAATTTCAATACACAGCAGTATATTCACAGTTGAAACCAGATATTTACATACACTTTATGGAAAACACAAGAACATTTTTTTACTGTACAACATCAATTTAGAGTAAACTTGTTTTGTTTTGGATAAATAAATATTGAAATATCTTTTGAATTAGTTAAATGTCAGAATAAAGAGAGACAGAGCTTCTATTTTTTATCACTTTCATCAAATTTAGGAGTACATATACACTAAGTTTATTGTTAATTAATAAGAAAACTCCAGACGATTCCATTCTGAGCTGAAGAAGCTTCTGATAGGTTAGTAGAGTCCATGTGAGTAAATTGGTGGCACACCTGTGGATGCATATAAGGCAAAACACAGAGCCTGTTTCTGTGACATGGGAAAATCAAGAGATGTCAACCAAAACACCAGGAAAAGAACTGTGGAGCTCCATAAGTGTGGCTCAAGTTTGAATACAATTTGGTGCCATTTACAATTAAGAAATACAGATAGTTTCTCTCTTTACTCTTAAAGTTAACAAATATGTTTTTATATTTATCAATCTAAAAAAATAAACATTTAGTCTGATTTGATGTTACAATTAAAAAAGTGTTTTTATCTGAAGAGTTTGTAAATATCTGGTTTCAACTGTATATTTGATGATTGTCAGCACAAAGAGGAGAGAGAGGAACAGAGAGGAGAGAGGGAGAAGAATGAGGACAGAACAGAGATGAACAAGAGCAGGTGAGACACACATGTTAGTCAAATGGTTGTTTACCAAAAGTATCACCGTATCATAGGTCCTCATGTATCTCGTACCTAGTGTTTCTTTTTAGGTTTGTTATTTTTCAAATTCTATATTTATTAAGTTATGCAGGCTTGTTTGCACAACAAGGCTAAATAATTATATAAACGTTTCTCAATCTAAATAGTGTACTTTGGTAGAATTAAAAAATAAGTGTAGTGCAGGTCTATGATGATTTTTAGTGCTACTATCATCTAGTTCTGATTCTGGTTCTGTCTTGGTTACTGTTGTAGTCCTGTTTTAATTCCAGATCAGTTCTGGGTCTGGTTGAATTGGGGTTTAGTCCTCATGTTCTTGATACAGCCCTGACTTTTGTTCTGCCTTGCTGCTTAATTAAAAACCTAGCTTAAGGTGTCCTGCATATGTGATATATATTTTTTTTCCTATATGAAGTCATTCTTTTTTGAACAAAACTCAAAACAGAGCCTATTAATCTTTCAGTCATTTCTACCCCCCCCCCAAAAAAAAAAAAAAAAATCCCACATGCATACTACCCTTTAGGGCTAAGCCCCAGGTGTTTCAAATGCCTGACTCCGCCTCTGCCCCATCCCATAAGCGTGCAGACCTTCAGGTTAATGTGGACTCGCTCTGAGGCTGACGATACAAAGACACTGAAGCACACGGAGAGTTCACAGACACGTGTGTGATCGATCAGCAGGACTTCAGGTTTATGATTTATTGATTGTTAAAGTCTGATGTGATGAACACAGAGCAGCTTCACTCTGATAAAAATATAGTTTTCAGGATTTTAGCTCTAGCGCATCAAAAGCAACAAAAACACAGTTTCAAAGTGATGACGATATCCCATTGTCCTTACCCTCACCTGTGGTCATTAGTTCTGGGGAGTAGCCAAAAGAATAAGGTTGCAGGTACAGGCAGCAGCAATGAGCTTCCTCTGAAGGGTGGCCGTGCTGTTCCTAGAGAAAGGGTGAGGATTTCAGTCATTTGAGAGGGGCTTAGAGTACTGCCGCTACTTCTCCACATTGAAAGGAGGTAGCTGAGGTCCTTCGATATCTGACCATGGCACCTCCTCCATTTGGATGAGGTCCCAAGGCAGACCCAGGACAGGCTGGAAAGTGTGTTAAATCTACTGAACAATACTTTTCACCTATTTTCATTTACAACATTTTTTTCTGACAGAAATGAGATAACTAAATAAAAAGTAATGCACAAGGACAAAAACTGTGACAAAATGTATCAACAATACGAGATCCAATCAGACGTTTTAGGTTGTGAAGAATCTCGCAACCAGTTTGGAAGTGATCCAGTCAGATGTAACTTCCTTGTACAGTAAGGTTAGATGAACACATCTGATCTGAAATGGTGCCGCTAGCTCACCGTTTGTCATGAAAACGCCTAGGAGGAACAGAAGAGCAGACATGGTGCTTTGTGAGAACTTATTGAATCAGCTCTGCTGTAACGTTGGGATATTTACTCAACTAGAGAAATTAAGATGAATAATCACAACTGGTTGGGAAATGCCTC